CCACTTATTTACTGTCTCCATAAACACACAGGAAGTATTTACACGTCCAGATCTCTCTCCTGTGTGTATGTGATCACAGAAGGTCAGTGTGAGTTCTAGGGTTTGCCAACACCAGCTGAGTTTGTAGTTGAGGAAACCCAGAGGGAAAAAATCAGGGTTTCCTCCCTGCTGCTAAAATTATTCCCCCCTAATTATAATGATTTAGCTTTAGGTGAATGAAGAACACTCGAGGCCCTTCACTCCTGTCCTCGTCTCCCTCCCCCTCCTCCACCTCCCTCCCCCTCCTCCTGACTGCATCCTCACCCTGCTTTCTCAGCAACCTTCAGCCGAGAACTCACACACACTTGGCCGTGCGCACATATAAACACTAAACCTGTAGCTCGCACAAAGCGGCTCTTTATTCTCTGGAACTTGTCTCTGCGCTCAATGTTTTTGCACCTGCGTGTGTGTATGTGTGTGCGCACGGTGGTATTTCCTCTTTTGAGCGGGTTACCAACCACAAACATCTCTCTCTCTCTCTCTCTCTCTCTCTCTCTCTTTCTCTCTCTCCCTCACTGCACTTCATTTTCCGACCATTCGCTGTGGACCATGGAAGACAAGCACAACCTTTCCTCCAGATCCCACCCCTACCTGAAAAAACATCCACACATTTAGCAGAAAATACACTGTAATTTTTGTAGTAATCCCCTATTTATAGTTTCCTGTTCAACTCGTTTTTACAGATTGAAAAGATTTGACTTGTCCGGAGGCGGAGTTCTCTCCGTCGTACATTATATTTATCCTGTAACTCTAGACCGGCCGCGTTGGATCGTGAGACTATACAGTCTAATACATCAAATATTTTTTTTGATACTTTTTTTAGCAGATAGTTTTTGTGAATCAAGGTAGTGGTTTATAGAATTTTCAACAACGGTCATTTTTCAGTGTTTGTTTTAGGTTTTCAAGTAAAACTATTTCTCGTTCCTGGTGCGTGAAAGACTTCAGCCGCTCCTGATTATTAAAGTGGTCTGATTGTTTTCCTGACGGCTGTCATTTTCTTGCGTTTATTATTTTTCTGCACTGCAGCTCTCCCAGTGACACACACACACACACACACACTTTATGTCCACAAAACCAGACTTGGTTTGGGTGAATTGAACCTGGCATGATCTTAAAGAATCATGAAGCTCCGGGCCAAAATGTTGGCTTGGAAATTCTGATATATGACCCCAAACATGTCTGCTTCAATATACAATCAAAGTCAAAGAAGAAAAAAAAAAGATATCTTGTATTACAGTTTTTTCTAAATATATTTTGTGAGGAGATTTTTCTTTTTTTTTTTACAGCGACCATTTCTAGATTTCATCTCACAGCTTTGACTGATACTTTACTTTCTCACCTGTTATCTGACTCTGTATCGTCTTCCTTTTACCTTTAAATTCTTACATGAAAACCTCTTCTGTTCCTTCTCTTTTACTTGTTTCCTCCTCCTCTTTGCCGGAGTGGCTCACCTGAAGGTGTAGTGCAGACCAGAGTTGGCGCTTAAACACCATGCCAGTGAGCACTGGAGTGGAAAAGACACACCGACGCACACACACACACACACACACAGAACTCCTGACATTGCTCCGTTGTCAGAACACAAAGCCTTCTTTTCCTTGGGCCCCTGGGGAACCTGGGAGAAATCACAGCCATCTCCAGCCGTCAAACCAATCTTTTGGCTTTTTTTTCCACACCTTCCGTCTCTCTCTCTCTCTCTCTCTCTCTCTTGGTCTCTGACTTCTTTTTGCTGTCTTTGTATTTTTTTTACTCACATTTAGCGACACAGAGAGGGAGGGAGATGGAGTAGACGGCTCTCTCCCGTAATGTGGGGGAAGAGAGGGAAGAGAACAGATCTGTGAGTTCCAACGTATAGCCAGGGGAAATATAGGTAAAAGGAGGGGGTAAGGAGGGCGTGGAGGGCCGTAGAGGAGGAATGAGGGGCTGAGGGAGGTGTGTGTAACGCTGAGACGTGTCAGAAAAGGGCGCCTGGGCCTCCCGGTGGAATGTGGCCTGTCTGCCTCCCCAGAAAGAACAGAGCTGGAGAGAGGGAAGAGAGGGAGAAGAAAGGGAAGAGGGGGCAAGGAAGAGATCTGCCCCATCATCACGGGTAGAGAGGAGGGAGAGAGGAGAGGGAAAACAAAAAAAAAAAAAAAAGGAGGAGGGGGGGTGGAGGAAGAAAAGGTGGAAAAGTGAGAGTGCAACATAAAGAGTGTGGCACTCTGTTAAGGTGCCGGCCACGGCTGTGGACGTGAAATGATGCATAGCAGAGGAGAAATGTAAGCAGGATAAATCCTAACGGAGCTCAGTGTGTGTGTGAGTGTGTGAGTGTGTGTGTGGTTGGGTGGAGGCCGTACTGACGAGAACCAGGTGTCTTCAGTTCTTAGGTTTTCTTAACATCTCTCATCCCCTCCTTTTTTTTTCAGACGTCCCCACTTTGAGAAGTCACTCCCCCACTCTGCTCTGTTCTCACCCTTTTTTGTCTCCCTGAATTAATTGCTTCTGATGTTCTGGCAGTTAGAGGACCAGTGTCTGGTGATGATTGGGATGGAAGAAGGGAAAGTAGATGAGAGGAGAGGAGGCGGTGCCAAAACGTTTCCTCTTACAAGTGCCACTCGTCAGTCGTCAAGCACCGGGTTTTTTTTTTTTTTTTCCTATTTATCTTACTGTCAATATTTTCACTATTTCACTTAACTCACTGTCTTACACACAAGTGGGAGAAGAGTAGCCAAATGTGAGGGTGGTCTCCCATTACCATCGATCTTAAAGGAAGACTGGTTCATAAAAAGTCGGTCGTGGAAACTGGTTTGGCGCGGCGATGCCCGCTCCCGTTTGTCATGTTCTATTTTTTTCGACCGCACTTCCCTTTTTTCCACTCTTGCATGCACACACACATCCTGGTAATCTCCGTCTCATACACTCGCGTCCACGCACGGAGCTGATGTGAGTTAATGAAGGGTGTAATTAAGGAGTCACAGTGATGACTGGAGATCGGGCAGAGCTGATACAGATCTCAAAAACACACAAATACTGATGATAGATAGCTGCACATGTGCAGGAGTGTGTGTAGGAGGAGTGGGCTTCAGGGCCGTGAGGACTGACGTACGAGGTGAGCGTATGTGTAAGGATACGTTAAGACAGTGGTTCTCAAACTGTGGCACGCGTACCACCGGTGGTCCGTGAGCGCTCTCTAGTGGTACGCGGGGAAAATTCATATTTTCTCATTTAGATTTTTAATTGAATAAATCTGAGACATCCCAGGCACAATTAATACAACATTTGAACAAAAACATCTTTATAAACATTTATAAACATCTCTCCTGT